TTAACGAGTTTGCTATTGTAATATTTCCATGGAAGCGATAGACTTACCTCCACGTGGTGCATCCTGGGCAACATATACTCATACGGCAAAAAAGTCTATTAACAGGCAGTTGACTTCTCACTTCAAACTACCATCACCCCACTGTATGTCATATTCGACCCCTTCCACAGTACTCATCTAGCCTTTTCTCTGCCTTTGTGTCTGTCTGTTTGTCTGTCTGTTACATCCGTGAATCGCACTTCTTTCCTCCTGTCGAATTTTACTCACTTTAATGTTCCTCCCTTCTGTGAATCCCGAAGTCAACTAAGGGCTAATGATAACTATCAAAATGCCTGCCATTTGAAATAAATATTTCCATGGATAATTTAATTACAAATATTGTGTTGAATCAAGGAATAGATGGTTTAAATTTGACTAGTAGAATAGTACTGGAACTGTGGAATGCAGTTCAAATTTCAGTCTTTTCCACTGAAGGGAGGAAAGGAGAAACCGATGGTCTAGGGCTGAAGTAATAGCCCTCGTCCAATCGAAAATCGATAGGAATACGTACGCGTTGGAATTTATTGAGAGCAGTTTTGTAAATGAAATATTGAAAATCGATAAAGAATTCGCGTCAATACGTTTATACTGCCTCTCCCTTCATGCTTAGGTCAAAATCCACCGATTTTGAGTGATTCGTATCGATTTCTTTTAGAACTTTATAGTACTCTGATTTCCAGATTTATCACAGACTTGATAATTCACAGTTAACATAAGAGTCTGATTGCTTTAGGTCCTATTCTACCCTCTCCTGATCCAGTTTTGGCAGTCCGAGTTTATTACCTCGCGAAACACCATGACAATGGTATTCTTCTTTTCTGCGCCAACTTGGCACTTTTTACTTGTCATCATTTACCCGTTACTTACTTTTGCTATCGCTGTTATTACCGATTTACACGACTTGCTTTATCAGCACATTTCTCGACGTTTATTGCCGAAACCAATCCATTTCATTAGTTATTTATTTTTCGTCTATTGCCTATTATTTGTGGTAGGTCTTTAGGCACTTCAATGCAAAAGTGACCTGCAATATATAACATTCATTTACTTCCCGGAGCCACTTCGCCTTGAATGCTACACAAATGAAAGTTTTTTTGGAAACATTTTCCTGTCGTGAGTAATTGTCGGCTAGTTTACACTAACGCCATATCATTCGCTTTCACCACTTATTTGTCCTCTTTTTGTCCTTTTTTCATGAGCTTTGTTGTCAGAAGTACCGTCTTCTACTATGCGCCGAGGAAATTGTTGCCTACCTTACAATTACTCGTAGGGTTGTATATTTGTCCAAAATGAAATAAAGAAGGAATTGGTTTAGGAACAAGTAATGTTTTGTCAAGTCTAATCTATACCATTTTTACAACAAGGAATTGGGTGGGATTAACAAAGACCTTTATACGTAACAAAGTACACAACTTAGTCTTTTTTACATTTTTTTTGACGTTTACATAAATATTTAACACCCAAAACAACAATGTGTGCATAAACTTCAAATTCACCAAGGTCTATTAATTACTACTTATTCCTCTATTTGCGAAATTAGAGTCTCTTGCTATTTTTTTTCTATATTTCGGAAAATTATTCAGTTTACTTTTTTGTGCCTCGAGAGAATTGAGTTTGTCCTTACCTTAGGGGGACGATTTTATTACCCATGGTTCTCATGCCTTCCAGTGTGCTAGAAATTTACACCCCTTACAGTTCCAACTCCCTCTCTCCCCCCTCTCTCTCTCTCTCCCCGTTACAATAAAATGATTATATATCGAAATTTTAAAATTATTTTCTCGTCAATCACTTCTCCTACTAAAACTACCATCTAAAATGAGAAGGTGGGTGGGCGGGTGGTTACTTGGCTTATAACTCAGCTAATTACTGGATCAGACTGCTCAAGTCGACATATTAAATTGGAGGTGTCTTTGGCTTTGCTGCTAATAGCTAATGATTTCTTGGCAGTTTTGATCGTAACACGAGGAAATTTGTAAGATACACTTAAAACCACCAACTATTCATCTTTGCATTATTACATTTAAGCGGAGTTTTACCTATCACCCGATTTGAATATTCTTATTTTGGGCAATTGGTGATCTATTTTATTTTTGAAAGACAAAATTTTTGGTTTATTAATCGAGCAAATGCCATATTTTTTATAAGATGGCGGTGTGACATTTCATAAAATGAGCTCTGATGTCCAACTGCTCATTTTCAATTGGCAACTTGATGGTACAGGTGGCACATATTTACCGGCAGTTTTAAATGTATGCTTGAGTTTTAAGCCACTCGCTTCATGAATTTTAAGTATCCGCATTTTGTTGGAAAAAAACATTGTTCCTTCTCACACTAGAGGCAATTTTAGTCGTTGCTTTTATCATCCAATGATCAAGGATTTACAGTTGCTCGTTTACATTGAGTGATCAGTTTAATTATTTATCGATTTGCTCGTTTTTTTGTTTGATGGAATTGAAAACTTACCTGATTAAGAGTGCATATATCTCTTTCTTATGCTATTATTAAATGGCGTTACTTATTTGTCTGTTTATTTACACATTTATTTAACCGCAAACTTATGTCACTTAGCAAAAGAATTTGCAGGTTCTGTGGATTTCGGGGCTATGAGAGCTTTCTTTAAAAACCTGTCTTCTAATTGTTACTTTTTTTGGAAAATGACGAATACTTTTGTTAATTTTAATTTCAACAACTTTGTTTATGGTTTTAGGCGCGTATATGCGCAATCAAGCATGGAAGTTAATGCAAGTGCTAATTCTCAAGATGTCATTACATTGGGCAAATTTCAGCATAAAATTAATTTTTATAAATTTTAAGTTCACTTCATTCTCCATTAGAGGGTGATGCGAGTTGCTAATTAGCGCCCATGTTTTCCTAGAAGCCTTCTTTTGGTCTAGCATGGTAATAAAACTGACAGTATGTAGCATTTTATCTACTGAACGGGATTCTTTTGCTTGGAATGCTGTGGAGACGCCATAATCATTGCTTACCAAAATTAGTTCGTATTTGGCAAATTTCGGGAATGAAATTGCTTCTATTCCAATTGAACAAGGTATAGAAATGTGCATTTTAGCATTAAGGTTTAAACACCTTGATCTTCAAAGTTTTTTTTTCAATATTTTACTGTTTTCTGATCACGCATTCATCACCTGACGGAATTAATTAATTTTCAAATCGCAGCGTTAATACCTTCTCGGAAGCACAACGGTACACCACAATTGGCACCATAATCGTTGGCTTGAACTAATTGTGGTCTTAACAGCTAGTATTTGTACGACGAATGAGCATGACAATTATCTCTCCGGTGGTTTGAACCTAGTTTGTAGGGTACTATCAAAACACTTCTATTATAAACCTTAACTTTTAATTGAAAAATTATCTTGACAACATGTTCACGTTTGCTCAAGTTCTACTTACTTCTACTATACCGGTTGTAATCATCATTTCGTCAGAGGCCTATTATTCATCATTGAATGCAAAATTTAATAAAGGCGCTTTTGTGAATTCTAAGTATTTATTTGTTTAATCACTCTGTTTTTTAGATTTTTGTTTTGGTATCAAAGTAGTTGACATTTTTTCCTGAAATTACAGCAAAACGATACGCCATATATCAAATCTCCAAGTGGTCTTCGAAGTCCCGTCACACTTAGCACCGATGGAAGTGAGAGCCTCTCCCGAAGGAAGTCCACCTCTCCTCCTTCCGGTTGCTGTGAATCGACCAATGCTCCTCCTCCACCGCCATCTCCTCTTGTTTCTGGCAAGCTTGATCCTGTGGCGTCTCCTGGGGGTGTCTCCTCCGTGTAAGTCACTTAGTGAATCTCCCTTCCACAATCAATATAATCTCATATCACGTAGGTGGAGTTGTATCTGAAAATTACCAAAGAAGATTGCAATCTAGGGAAAAGTAGGTAATCGTAGAAGAATCCCCTTCAATTTCTTTTGTAATTTAGGCTTATGCACAGAGCAAGGCGCTTATCTTGAGATACACTCTTTCTCTTTGGATGACGCAGTGTTATCTTAAATTTATATCCCTCCCTTCTAATTTGTGCAGTAATTTAGGCGATATGAGTAGACAATAGATATTTATTTTATGTATTCGGGTGACCTTTAGGACAACATGGTCTTAATAGCAGGTTATTTTTGGCGTGAGTTATAATTTTATTAAACCTTGTTAATTTACTAAAACTGATCGTATCATAAATAAGAGGTGAATATCGTATTCTCGGCTTTTAATATGGAATTCGATGAATAGAGGGTAAGGTGAAATTCGAAAACAATGATTTCTTTGATATTCTATGTTCGATATTATTTCATTATCCATCACTACCTTTTTTTGGTTTGGAAGTTCTGAAAGCACTTTGCATAATTTTAATGCGGTTTATTGAAAACCAAAGACTTCTACTGGTTCGTCATTTTTGAATCACGTACCTTCCAAATTAATTAAAATTCACCCACTAGGAGAAATTGACACAACGATCTATACTTTCCTGTCTTTTTTGTAATTACATAGCGGTTTGCACAAAATAAGTTTTGCAGTTTCCAAAGCATTATAGAGACATCTAGGGGTTGCCAATCGGGATTCTTGTCTACTTATTGATTAATAATATTATCATATAGAGGAAATAATTATAATAATTACGAGTTTAGTTTCTAATAATCTCAACGAGAAGTCAATTCATCGAGCGTGCAAACGGGTCTTAATTTTGAATCTTCACAAATGACTTTGTTTTGAAAACTTAATGGGCTATAGAGTACGGAACGCTTTAAGCTAGCTTCTTTTTACATCAATTTGCGAGAAATAAGTTATGTATATTTTTTCAGTCTGCCTATAACCCCCCCCCCCCACCTCATAAATTTATCAATTCAGACCTGCAGTCTATTGGAGCCAAGGTGAAACACGAATCGCAGGTATAAGAATTGATGGTAATCTTTAATTTAAAATATAAATCAAGTTGTGTTGTGTTGCCTATCTAGATTGTTCAGACTTTACAATAGCCCTCTGTCAGTACCAAACTCTTTCATTACAGTTTGACAACTTTGTCAACTAATATTATTTATTTCAAATGGCAGGCGTTTTGATAACTTTCATTAGCCATTTAGCTGACTTCGGGCTT